CCCCCCCCCTCGTTTTGTAGGATACAAAGCATGCACGCCTGCAGCGTGAAGAAGATATCATTCACCGTGTGGGGTTTCAGCTGCTGAAATGCCGATTCAACCGTGTCAATGAGGGCCTTGTTGTCCTTCCTGGGGATGTGGTGCTGAATGCACTGCATCGAGTTGAAGACGCCCAGGTCTAGCGCATTGAGATCTGGCGAATTCGGCGCTTGACAGAACAGTCTGATGTTCCATCCACCTTCTGTTCCAGCGGGGAGGATGGCTGGGTCCGATGTAGCGCATGCGGCTTGGCATTATCTTGTTGTACGAAGAAAATTTGGTGGCGGTCCTTCCTGGGCCATTTGGCTTTGATTGCAGGAAAAACTTTCTCGAGCAAGTAGTCCCTGTACACGTCACGGTCGACAGAGTCGATATTGCGGGTACAAAGCGCTCCTTTGTCTCTGTTTTTGCTTCGTCGTTTGGCTTCATAAGTCTCTGTAAAAGACCAGATTCCGACCTTGCCAACCCATCCCATTCCTGTTTCCGGTGAGAGTCGTACCTAACCAAAAATAAAAAATGAAGGTTATTATTTTTAAAATAAAATAAAATAGTGAGTTTACCGTGGACGCGCTAATGCAGCCAAAAACACGGTTTTAGGGATGAACCGCTTGCTCTTTCACACCCGGGAAGGAAGCTTTTCGCCTTCTAAAACAAGGTACAAACGCTTGTCTCGGTCTGCATAAAACCACTTCTCATCAACATGTACCATGCCATACATGGGTTCAAACTGCAGCGTCCAATTATCGACAAAAGAGAGGGTATGCTCGACGCACCTTAGCTTGTTGTTTGGCGTCAATGCTGACTTGACGAACGTCGTCCGGCGTGCAAGGACGCCTTCCTTCACTGCCTGCCGCACCATGTAGCGGGAGAGTCCGGCATTGACCGCAGCCCGCCTTTCAACAGTATTGTCTTCGATATAGACAGAAGCCAGCTTCTCGCGCACTTCGTCTCGATTTTTTCGCTTTCTTCCGCTGTTCTTCTTAATCTTGCTTATCCATTCACCTCCTAGGACGGCTGCGCCAACTGTGACAGCGTACCGCTTCCAGATAGCGCTAATAGTGGTCGGGTCGCGCCCCATACCAGTTGCAACCTTTGGGTATGCTCCCCGAGGCAGTGTACCGATGTTGTTGATTCGTAGAAGCTCATCGATGGCTACTTTCCGCTCTAGGTCACTAAGGTTTGGCTTGGTCATGCTTTGGCTAGGAGAGTCGAGGTAGTTCGGGCGTAGCGGGTGTCACTGCGGCGTAAATCCGGAACTAGCGGTTTGTAAAATGACGTAGCGGCGGCTGTAGGGCTCTGTTTGCTATGAAACGGGTGGCGTTGGAAAGCGGAGTCATTGGGCTTCCTTTTTAAACCAATCCGTAGTGTCTAATTCAGTGTAGAAACGAAATCATTGGTTTAAACGTTTTTTTTTCGGTGATCATTATCAACCGTAGGAAGTAGCTACTACGGGTGTGTATGTATTTTTTTTTAATTCCAATTAAAGGTAAGGCTGTCACGGTGGGGATGCATACACTTTAAATTCTAGTGATTGTCCTTCATCTATATTTTGTAACCTGCTGAATTATTGAGACACTTCCCAAACTTACGCATATACTCTGAGCAACAAATTATAGCAATTGTAGAAGATTTAACTATATAGAAGAAGCATGTGTATAAATTGACACCTATCGTGACGATAAATCTTTTGCCAATCTCATGTGCATTGTCGCCTGGGGCGAATAAATCTCATTATCTTACAGCATTGCTATTTTGCTACTTATCTCGAAATTCATTTTCACGTCCACTTACTCATTCTCTTCCAACACCAGCTGACTTGTTTAGTCGGACGAATAAAATTTAGCGAATTCATAGTTTACCCCCCCCCCCTCCCGTATATAGTTCGAGCACTGAAGTGGTCGACTACATGGTAGAAGAAATGCTACGGTAATACAATAGGATTTTATAATTGATTGTGGCTTTTAGGAGAATTCTATATTTGCAGTTGCACTTCCTTGTCTCCATCTTAACCCTTTCGCAAACGGGTACTTTTGACCTAGCTATATTATAGTATAGAAGGTCAAGTCGTTAGGCCATCAAATGGGGCATTTTGTCCCCTTTCATAAACTACGGTACTACAGCAAATCTTCTGCAAATCCTTGTAGTTC